CCCATGATCTCTGCCAAATGTTCTACTGAGATAATCTGCCAGACCGTTTTGGACATCTAAGAAGCAAGTATAATTGTATTCTTGATGCAGAAAGTCCAATGGTTCAATGCTTCTTGACAAAGGGTTTTGATTTGGCACCTGCCTGCTTTTTCAAATGGAACACAGTGACAGTGTTGTACTACCACGAGTACTGTACAGTACAATCTCTGATGGGGAGAAGAAAACTGACAGGCCAAGTAGATGGGACGAAGGGAACCCTGTTGTTTACTTTGGCATGTCCAAGACATCCATCCAGCAACATCACCACACTTACTGGCATGGCCACAAGATGATCAACTTGAACTACCTGGCCTTGACTTGGAGGTAAGGTTTTGCATGCTGAAATCACATACTCAAAAGGCGCCTAGACGTCTCTCACAATTTCTTGCTGTTCTAGCAGGATAACACTTGAAGACCTACAGTTGACTATCACCTGAAAGCTGGCCTCAGTTAAATACATACAGTCTCACTGTGCCAATTGAGAACCACACCTATGAAGTCAGATCTCTGCACAGAAAAGAGAAGGTCTTAGACCTTACCTTGGTGGTGATCAACAGACCTGAGATGCACAACAATTGCTGACATGCACTTTGTGAAGACTTTGGTGTCAACCTCCTTGTATGACTCAATCAGGAACTTAGCACTCAAAGATGGTCTCTTTCTGCTTAGAAAAAGTTGAAAAGTCCGATTTCTTCTGCTGTTTGTGTGTTAACCAAGACCTAGAACAGTATCTTATCACCAAAACAGAGACGTCACCAAATCGCTAAGAGATGGAGTAGAGTCTGAATCCATGCATACGACAGTTAGGTGCCAAGATATCAAACTGCCTTCATTAGGATATGTGAAAATCCAATGTCCTTCCATTTCTTAGTCCTTGTCTTAACTCCCCCTACCTCTACTTCTGCAGACGATTAAAGGAGCAGGCGTGAGGCTCACTGACTGGCAGATTTCTTACATTCAGAACAGAGCTGAAAACAGTGAGGGACAACCTAACTTTAGCAAGTGGACTGCATGAGTGGCCCTCTATCTTCGTAGGCCTCAAGATTATCATAACCCAAGACATAACTGTGTTTGTGTACGTAGAATCTGCAGGATGTACTGATTGAACTGTAGCTGCACTTTGACTAGATGCAGAGGGAGCACCTGGCTTTTACAATGTTGTGTGCAAGCAGCATGCACCTCACTTCACATACAAAAATGACACACTTAAAGCAAGGGTAACACCAGTAAGAAAAAAAAAACTATACAGACAAAAAACAACAGAATCTGGCAACCCTGTGCATGGGCAACAGTAAAATTGTGTCATGGGCCACAAACACGCTCTGCCCCACGAACAGGATTATGGGAAAAAGAAATCTGGCTTGGACACATTTGCATGCAGACGCCTTAAGACTGAATGCTCATACATGTCTGTTCTAACTGTAAACATCCTTTACTCTTCTTGAAGTGACTGTATGAATAATCAAGCTTGGCAGAATTAAATTTTTATAATATTAATGTTATTAGGCATATTTGTATTGTTATCCTTTTAAATTTCACAGCTGTGCAATATGTGTTTTAAGCATTTTTTTCGTGTTCGTCTATTTAAATTTTCACAGTTGAAGGAAATTATAAGGTTTCAGTCAATGGGTAGGGGATTATATAAAACAGTAGACCCTGACATTCAAAAAAGTTAAAAAAAGATACAAACTATACACATTGAAAGTCAAAAATATTCAAAGTATAGGTATATAGCAATAAATCAAATTCTAATATGCAAAGTAAGAAACTTTATGCTGGAGAACCCTAAATTTCAACTGTCTATGGACATTTTTCAGCTCACGTCTGTGGTGAAAATAACATTTATCAACATTTTTATCTGTAAATCTAATCCTTAAAAGCCAGTGTATACTAACTAGACGAGAAAGAATCACGGGGGAATACTCCAGTGAAAGTTCTCCTTCAATATCAGAGTGAAAGAATTAAAAATGTTAGCATCTACTAATAGGCACTAGAGTTAAAATCCTGCAGTGGGGACAGGTCATGTTTTTCAAAATTATTATTCCTATATACTAATCAAACAAGTAGCGTCACAGTTGGTCACATTAAAACAGTTTTCTTCAAATTTGAAAGGTAGGGGTTGGTTGGTTGGTTTTTCGGGGGATGAAAGGGGGGGAAGGAGGTAAAAGAAAGTTTATTTTAATATTGCATGCCCTCTCTATTCTACCCAAATCTGCCACAGGTTAAGATCCAGTTGTGTAGGGGCCTGTCTGTTCAGAGATCATTTCAGGTTTGTGTAGGATTTGCAAAAAATTAAGCTTAATTACAGGTTTACAAAATTAATATAAAATATTAACATTTCTAGGGCTACATTTTATTAGAAGATTAAAAATCGTATGCTAACATGTCAGTTAAAAAAAAATCTTCAGGAAATTTTTCTCTCAGCAAAAAAAATGGAGAGGGGAAATGGGCATGCATTAGGAATCAGTATACCATCTCCCAGAGGGCAGAATACAAAACAACCTGTCAAGTAATCAAAGATAACTAAAGAGATGAGTTAAAGGGCCCTGATGCTGTTTTTTTCCCCCATTCAGCATCGGGTGAATCCAAGTTATTTTACCACCCGACAGCTTCCTCAGTCTATGAATTCCCAGTTTCTCTTCACCATTACTGCCACTCAAAGGCTTGACAACTTTGTTGTTGGGACAGATATCCACTGATATGCATTATCTGAAGCAGTGATTCCTAAATGGCTAGTTGTGAACTAGCAGTAGAGCACGTGAAGGTTCTAAATGATTTATAGGCTCAGGATGGAGGATGGCCTCGGAGGTGGCAGGGGAGGAGAAGAATGCAGGCCAAGCCCACCTCATGCTTGCCCTGTTGGGTTCAGTCTGGCACTCTGCTAGGGTGTTGTGATAAGAGTGCACAGGGCTGCAGCACCGACCACCTGAACTTGGCTTTTAGAGATAGCCAGGTAAAACCTGCTGTGACCCCATGTGCCAAGCTGCAATGCCCTCTGTGGGGAGCCAGGCTCATCTGCATGGAACAGGAATAGTAGTAATAAACTGAACTGCTGAAGAAAAAGTGATTATTAGTAGAACTAGGAGTTGTGTGTCACCTAGAAGGGAAGATCCAGTTGTAGCTCTGGAATGGAATTTTGTAACTAATAAGTCAGTTGTAATAAATGTATGTTATAGCAAAAGGATTGGATTAAACTTAAATACAAGATGTAGGCCTCACACAGGGCCAGGCAGCTTTGTTAACTTAACTCCAACTCGGCTTGATGTTAACATGTTAAAGTGAAGAGATGGAATATTGTAATACATAGTGATGTTAGTGTTAGTAAGGCCTTCTAGTAGATAGAAGGACGTTTAATGTTGAATGTTTGTAACTTTGTTAAAAGTGACTTGGAAGTACTCCTTTGTTCCATGCTGCAATTCTGTAAATGTACTGTTTCTCTGAATGAGAGAGAGAATGTTTTAGGAGAGATAAGTGTGAAGTCCACTGCATGCTCAAATGGTCAGAGGAGGGGCTGGAGACTCAGAAGCATAAAACAACAACCAAAGCATACTGAAGACGCAGACTACCTGGGCAGACTGACGAACCCTGAAGCTAGAGGCAAGCACCCCTTGATAGGAAACCAATCACAACTTTTGGCAGAAAGACAACACCCCCAAGGGGTCGGTCGTCAGCATACTGATGTCAAATGACTGTGAGAACAACTTCTTCCCAAGAAGCACATGTCATAGGAAGACTGATTGTGATGCGGAATGACTGACAAAGGCCTGACGAGTCAAAATACATAGACTTGCATGAAAGGAAAGCCCTATAAAGGACGGGGTGTCTTGTATAATTCTTTGGGTTCTGTCCTTCTAAGATCAAGACCAGGAGGGGCATCAGTCCGGACTGACATGAACCTGGCTCCTACCTTGCACCTGACCTATCTGGCCAAGAGGTTGGGCCGAGTAACAGACTGGTAACTATTCCATCGTGTGTGTGTGTGTGTGCACGCTCATGTGCACTCTACTTTGTTATATTGTCAATAAATGCGGCGTGTTGCCTTATCCCCCTGAAAAAGATCCTGTGTGCTTCTTATAAGCATAACACAGGTCATTCAGTTTGATGAATCTACAACAGTAAATGTTCAATTTTAATGCAAAAGAAAGGGTCATAATAAATGGCTACATGATTTTTTAAGAAATCATCTCAAGTTGCACTGTTTTAATCTTTTTTTTCCCCTCGCCATTTTACCCTAAAATGTACACTGAATGATATAGGATCAATTCTGGAACTTATAGACAATGATGTTAGGGGTCAAATTACATTATTTGGTAGGTGAAGAAAGGAACATGTTAGTATTAGCTTTAGAAAGACCAAGTGCCTTGTGGAAATAAATGGACAAAAAAAGTCAATCTTTGACACCCAAAGAAGTTTACAAGTAAGGGTCCTAAATTCTCTCACAAGTGATTACATCCTCCATTAAATCATAAAAATAAAAAAAGCCATGACTGACTTAAAGGACAAAAGTTCTATGACCCAGTTTGGCATACCTTGTTTTTATTCCTACAGGAAAGGGACAACACCAGAAAATAAAAACATACCACAGAGGATCTCTCTATGAAACAAATTCTGGTTTTACATCAAAGAGTTGGTGGCATGAAGCAAAATTGACTCATGAAGTCCAATTATTTTCATCAACATTTTGTCAGAACACAAAATTACTTTTATTATTTCTTGGTCCTGTCTTTTAAATAATTAACATCCACATTTTCAAAAAGGGACTCATTTCTCCCACCAAGACTTAACTTCATGGCTTATTTGTTTGTTTGTTGAAGACTGGCTAAAGAGAAAGCACAAAAAAAAAAAAAAAAAAAATACATGTAATACAATTTTTATATCCATATATATTTATTTTAACAGAGGAATCTATAAATGTAAAAGGAAGAGAATATGTTAGATCTACAATATTAAAGTAAGATTACCTTTTTTCCTCCTGTTACAAACTGTTTGCAGTGGGATCTTACAAACTGAGGGTGGACAGCAACAATCTGCATTTAAAGGGGGAGAAAAAAATACAATTGCTGAAGTATTTGTTAGATTGCAACATTGATGACCATATCAAGTGCTATTACAGTTCTCTTCCATAAATGCTATTATAGTTCTCTTCCATAAAACAAAATCTTGCATCAAAACAATTGCCCTTTTGTCTGCTAAGAAAACACACACCTGGCTCTTCTAACAACTCAACTCTTTCTGCCTTCTAATTACAGCCAGTTCCTCTGTGATAAGAGGAGCCCAACTGGTGTTTACCCTCACTATGGAGAGCATCACTTCTGGGACATCAACAGCTAAGATTACATCCCAGGGTAGATTTAAGATTCTAATCAATTCAAAAACATTGACCTAACACTTAAGAATCAAAATTCATAATCACAGATTGACAAAGAAAGGGATAGGTTAAGAAAGGAAATAACTGAAACTTGAGAATTCCCCCCCCCCCACACACACACACACTTTGATTTTTGTATTTTAAAAGCTCAACACTCACACTATGCAAAATTCAGATCAGCTTTTCCCTGAGCTAAGCAGTTCAAAAGCTTTTGGACTGCTATAGATGACTATCTTGGAGAGATTTAAAATAACATTAGGGCAAAGAACTAGTATTTTTTAGCTACAGAATCAGTATGACCTGTATTTTATTAAGAACAATAATAAAATAGTTGTTAAGAATTAGATATGTACTTACTTTGATAGGGCAGTCAAATGTCTCATGAAATTCTTCTCCTGAATACAATCCAAATACCTGTACCTAGAGACAGGTAAAATCAAATCACAATCACAGTTTGACAAATATTGGGAGGTGAATGAAAATGCTAATTTGTCCAACATGCTTATTAAAACAGCATAATACACTTAATTCTAAATTATCTGAAATGTCCTTGGATTCCCTTATGGAATCTCATGAAATTAAAGAGTATCCGAGTGCTTCTTTGCAATTAGGTTTTCAAACACCACAAAAAATAAGGAGTTCCTTTGGTGGTAGGCTGATCACCTCGGTTGAAACAGATGCTTTCTAGTAGATATGAAAAGTATTCACATATTCTTAATCAACTCAATGAAACAAATATTAAAAAATGTCTCTGAAAAGCTATGTGCTTCTTTTTAAGGTTAAAACTCAGCTTCACGGATGCTTCTTATACTCCTTCAGGTCTTCAAAAAGTCTCTGGACTAGAAAGCAGAACTAGCACAAAACCTAACACTTGGCCTCACCAGAGAGTTCAGTTGACATTAGGGATGTTAAAAATCAGTTAAATAGGTACCCACGTAACTGCTGAAAATCTCAATGGTTACAGGGTTACAAGCTGTGGGCTCTGCAGCATACAGCTTAAATAAGCTTTCTATTGCAGAGCCTGCAGTGAAGCCTCCCCAGGAGTGAGGTTGCCACATAGACACCTCCTTCCCGGGAGCCAGGCCAGCAGGTGCTCCTCAGGAGTAGTGGCAGCAAAACCTCCTCCCTGAGAGTGGCCTGCCCAGCTCCTGGGGAGGAGGCTTTATGGACCCTGTTTCAGCAAAGCTTCCTCCCAGGAGCCAACTGAGTTTAGCCAACAGCATTAACCAATCAGCTTAGATTAGTCTGTTACACTTTAACATCCCTAGTTAACATTCAGCAACTTACATCAACCTAACTCTGAAAGTACTTACAATGTGTACACCAACCTAATCATGCCTCCTCCACAAAGAGAGTTATCACTTAGATTGAGGTATTTAGGGTACCACAGCAATCGCATAGATGGCCTGTTGCTGCCGTTAGCAACCAGAACTGCCAGGCTGGGCACTGGGGTCCTGGGCGTCATCTTGGAGCAGAAGGGCAGACCGATACATGAGTCAGTCTAGAGTGGCAGGGATCTGGCTGACTGCTCAGGCAGTCACCTCCCCTGATGCCCTACTAAAATCAGTGCGCGCACTCCTGGACAATTGAGATGCTCAAGGAGTACTCAAGGACAATAAGGTCACTGTGGAGAAACTAAATTATTTTGCTTCAGTCTTCACAGCTGAGAATATTAGGGAGGTTTCCAAACCTGAGCCATTCTTTTTAGCTGACAAATGTGAGGAATGGTCCCTGATTGAGGTGTCACTAGAGGAGGTTTTGGAATAAATTGGTAAACTTAACAGTAACAAGTCACTAGGACCAGATGGCATTCACCCATGAGTTCTGACAGAACTCAAATGTGAAACTGCAGAACTACTAACTATGGTTTGTAACCTATCCTTTACATCATTTTCTGTCTTAAATGATGGGAATTTGACACCAATTTCCAAAAACAGCTCAAGAGGTGATCCTGGCAATTACACACCAGTAAGTCTAACTTCAGTACTGGGCACAGTGAATGAAACTGTAGTAAAGAACAGAATTGTTAGACACAGAGATAAACATTAAGTCAGAGATGAACCATAAAGTCAACATGGTTTCAAAGAGAAATCACACCTTACTAATCTACTAGAGTTATTTGAGGGGGTCAACAAGCATGTGGATATAATGCATTTAGGACAAGGTCCCTTACCAAAGGCTCTTAAGTAAAGTAAGTTGTCATGGGATAAGAGGGAAGTTTCTCTCATGGATTGAGAGGTTGTTAAAAGACAGAAAACAAAAAGGTAGGAATAAATGGTCAGTTTTCAGAATGGAGAGGTAGTGGCATCCCACAGAGGTCTGTACTGTGACCACTTCTATTGAGCATATTCCTAAATCATCTGGAGAATGGGGTAAACAGTGAAGTGGCAAAATATGCAGATGATACTAAACTCCTCAAGATAATTCAGTTCAAAGCAGACAGTGAAGAGCTTCAAAAGGTTCTCACAAAACTAGGTGACTGGGCAACAAAATGGCAAACAAATTTTAATGTTGATATATGCAAAGTAATGCATATTGGAAAACATAATGCCAACTATATACACAAAATGATGAGGACTACTTTAGCTACTATCACTCAAGAGAGAGATCTTGGAGTCATTGTGCAGAGTTCTACCAAAACATTCACTCAATGTGCAGCAGTAGTCTAAAAATCTAACAGAATGTTAGGAATCGTTTAAAAAAGGGTAGAGGGTAAGACAGAGTATTACCTCTATATAAAACCAGAGGATGCCCACATTTTGAATACTGCATACAGGTGTGACCAGCTCGTCTCAAAAATATATCTTGGCATTGGAAAAAGTTCAGAAAATGGCAATAAAAAAGATTAAGGGGGATCAAACAGCTGCCATATGAGGAGAATTTAATAAAACTAGGAGTTTTCATCTTAGAAAAGAGAAGACGACTACAATACAGGTCTATAAAATCAAGTCTCTTGTAGAGAAAATAAGGAAAAGTTATGTACTTGTTCTCAAAACACAAGAACAAGGGGTCACCAAACAAAATTAAGAGATAGCAGGTCTAAAACAAACAAAATGAAGTATTTCTTCATACACCGCACAGTCAACCTGTGGGACTCCTTGCCAGAAGATGTTGTGAAGACCAGGACTTTAACATGGTTCAGAAAAGAACTAGATAAATTCATGGACGATAGTGTCCCTAGTTTCAGTTTTTTCAGAAGTTGGGAATGGGAGACAGAGGATGGATCACTTGATGATTCCCTGTTCTGTTCATTCCCTCTAGGGCATCTGACATTGGCCACTGACAAAAGATACTGACCCCCGTATGGCCATTCTTATGTTCCTATGGAGAGGATGTGCTCTATCAAGAGAAGGGCAGCATAGAAACAAACAATTGTGTGCTGTTTGTAGGTTGACCTAACTTAAGTCAACTAATTGTTTAGTGTAGGCATGCCCTAAGCATCATAATTTTTATGACCTATCCTACAAGCATCCAGCTGCACTATGCTTTTTCTCTCAGGAATTCCTTCTGTGAAAAGTTCCCTCTCCTCTGCTAGTGCATTGAAGTAAATGTTGGTAACTGCTATTTAATAGTTGCAACCATGGTGGTGACTATCTAAAATAGATGTTCTCTTTCAATCAAAGCCAAGCACACTAAAAAGAGCTTCAGCAAACAAAACTATCATCATGACAGTAAAGATTCTTAATAGGTTTTAAGAACAGAAAATTGTTTTCTTCTTTTTAAATAGAAGAGAATAATCAAGTCATAAATGCAACAGAAATGAGTTTTCCAATGAAGAAAAAACAAAACAGAAAGATAAAAGATTTATCTAAATAATGGTGTCAATGACCAAGTGAACGGAAGGTGAAAAATATTCCTGGAAAAATGTGGATAAAACAACATAAAACAGAATAAATGGAAAAAGAAAACATTTCAAAAAACATTATCTTAATTTCTTGTAAACAGCACTACCCTGCCTGGCTAGAGACAGAGCAAAAGGGTATATATGTATTTGCAAATAGTTATTTAGACTCTATAGTTCTGAGGTCAGAAACTGTAACTGACTCACTTCTAATAAGCATCACAGACACTTGAGACATCCATGCATTTCCAGGAGAGGAATGAAGGAGACACTCAGGACACATATGCTAAACAATGGAATGAGTCTTAGATCTTCAGTAATTTGCACCAGTATGTTAAAGAAATGATCTTATGGACTGTTTGTGGTTAATTAACTTAGCCCAAATTTATTTAGCTCTGGGTGTGGTTATCCTGTAACAGGGAGCAAACAACAGTAATATTTAACAATCACTGTGTAGACAATGCAGCAGAAATGGTGTACATACACACTTGATATCAGACCCATGCTTTCTAAGACATGCAACCCTATAAGCAGATTTTATTCTGCACATTCAAGGGAATGGACTCTATCTCACTGGCCTTTTCCATCTCTGCCCTTTATGACTGTACTAGAAGATTTAACCAGTGTTGCTTGGGTCCTTAACTCAAATAAAGTTTTGTTTTTCTTCATTTAAATCATTGCTTTGGGGTGGGGCTGAGGGCTTCACTATGCAGGCTGCCTCGGGAGAGAGGGCGACCCCAACCCCGACCCCAACCCCAACCCTCTTTCACTGCAGTAGCTTGGTCCAAATGAGAAATGCCCATGCATGGTCGCTGCAGCTACAGTGAACATACAGCGGGGGGAGGAGATGCATGTCCCCCATCTGGGGGACAAACAAACACTTTTGAAATATATAGTAAATAGCTGTCCCTTTCTCCACCCCTGCTGCACCCCAATAGAGTTACAGATGTCCCGGTCCTTATCTCTGGCCCATTGATGCATCCCCTGTTCAGGACAGTCAGAAAGGACAGAGATGGAAAAAGCCTTGAACATGCTGTAAAAAAACCTCATATGCAGTGTAACTCCCTCCTATCACACCCTTCCATTTCCATTTTATGAGAAAAATTTAATTCTGGGCACATCCCATTGTTTTGCACATTTCTAAAATGTATAGTTAGATTTGCCCAATACAGGTATTTCAGAAAAAAGTAATAGGATCTTTAGGATAAAATTGGGCAGCCACCAGTCACAGAAACAAAGAAACTTGAGTAGAGCTTCCTGGTAACATACTAAATATATAAGATAACAGTATGAGCTAGAGGTGTGAGTCCCCCCACTCATGTACACACACGAGCACTAGCTCTCATTAAGATAGCATGAATATAAATAACAGCTAAGTTGTGATGGTATAGATAGCCGCAGCAGAGGCACAGCCAAGCCATGCCAAGTACCTGTACATACCCACCAATTTCAGGAGGGGTTGTACTTGACATGCCTCACCCATGCCTCTGCTACTGCTACTTGTGAGATTGCAGATATGATGCTATTTATACTTGTACTATACTACTAAAAGCTAGTGCAAGCATATGTGCTCAAGCAGGGGTATTACACCCCTGGCTTGCAGTGTAGATATAGCCTCAAACATTACAGGGATGAGGACCCAAGAGAGTACCTGGAAATAGAACACGAGTGTCTACACCGTGCTCAGTACATTGGGTCTGAGTATTAGTACTACCAGGGACATTAACTCAGCAATATTGGACTTGTGTATCTATATGTAGTCAACTGTGCTTTAAGTAACTGCAAGATGGGTTGAACACAGTGCCATAGAACCAGTCGCTGGCTGAGGAGCAAAGTTGTTCCTGATCTGATTGTACTTCATCCTTTCTCTACCCAGCTTGTCTCCTGTTCCCTTGCAGTGTTTCCAAGTCAGTGCACTATTCAAATTACAAAGCTATGCTGGATTTACCCAGTTCTACCTTCTGTCTCCCCTCATTTATTACATATTTAGGTAGTCTAAAAAGCATCCCACAATGGGAAGCCATTCTGTTTTACAAATTCTCTGTATCTATACTGTATACACATATGGTATCCCTATCTCTGATTTTACACCCTTATTCTGTGCCTTATACTTAAAGTGGCAAAAGGGATTGGATTGACAACCTGGTTTTCCAGAATTAGTTGTTTGGTTGCTTTATGCTTTTCAAGCTGAAAGGCTAGTTCTAGAATGCTCATTGATACCAGGTCAGATGGGCCTGGAAATTGCTTCCCCCCAACTTCTATAACTAACTCAGGACCAGTATTCTTCCTTAGGCACAAAGGCTGGCCCAATGGCAAGTTGAGGATGGTAGAAGTAAGAAGGCAAAATAATGAAGAAAAATAAAGAGTGTAATAAGTAAAAATAAAGAGTGTAATCAGAAGTGACAAAGCAGCTCATCTCAAAGTCTTTTTTCAGAAGATGAATCATCTCTCATCACTGTGCAGCCTGATGCATGTCTGGAGGGGAAAAAAATACATACTATACCTTGGGCAAAGGTTGACCAAGTACAGCCTATCAGACTATACCTTTTCATTAATGCATAACGAATACATGAGGCACTATAGCTGGTTCAAAAAATCTAGAGATTGTTCTTTGTTGAATTCCATTTTATAGCAGAAGCTGATTAAACAGATTTTTTTCATAAATATATTTATTGATTTTATCATCTGCACATGTTTGGAACTTCACAATTAGCAATCAGGAGAAGGTAGAGCACTATACACTGCTCTCCAGTAAAAGCTGGTACTATGAAAAACTACCAGAAGCTTGGCTGTACAGTAAAAAGACACAAAATTAAGACTCAGGAAAACTAAAATAAATCTCCAGTTCTACTACAGACGTCCTGTGTGTGCTTGGGCAAATCACTTCATCTCTCTCTGCCTCAGTTCTCCATATATAAAATACAGAAAATTATTATTAATTGTTACTGGGATTGCACCTAGGAGAACGTAATAACGGCTGTACTGGGTCAGACCAAAGGTCCATCTAGCCCAATAGCCTGTCTGCCGACAGTGGACCGAAGACAATGATCAAGCAATTTGTCTCCTGCCATCCCTCTCCAGCCTCTGACAATCAGAGGCCAGGGACACCATTTCTATCCCCTGGCTAATAGCCTTTTATGGACCTAACCTCCAGAAAATTATCTAGCTTCTCTTTAAACTCTGTTATAGTCCTAGCCTTCACAGCCTCCTCTGGCAAGGAGTTCCACAGGTTGACTACATGCTGTGTGAAGAAGAACTTTCTTTTATTAGTTTTAAACCTGCTACCCATTAATTTCATTTGGTGTCCTCTAGTTCTTCTATTTAGGGAACTAATACATAACTTTTCTTTATGCGCCCTCTCCACACCACTCATGATTTTATATACATCTATCATATCCTCCCTCAGTCTTCTCTTTTCTAAACTGAAAAGTCCCGGTCGTTTAAACCTCTCTTCATATGGGACCCGTTCCAAACCCCTAATCATTTTAGTTGCCCTTTTCTGAACCCTAACCAAGGCCAAAATATCTTTTTTGAGGTGAGGAGATCACATCTGTACACAGTATTCAAGATGTGGGCATACCATAGTTTTATACAGGGGCAGTAAGATATTCTGGGTCTTATTTTCTATCCCTTTCCTAATAATTCCTAGCATCCTATGTTGCCTTTTGACTGCCGCTGCTCACTGTGTGGAAGTTTTCAGAGAACTATCCACGATAACTCCAAAATCTCTTTCCTGATTTGTCATAGCCAAATTAGCCCCCATCATACTGTACGTATAGAGTTGGGGTTATTTTCCCCGATGTGCATTACTTTACACTTATCCACATTAAATAAATGTAATGTGGAGCTCCAGTGATGGACCAGGTTTTCACTATGACAAGCATTGTACCAAACAAGAAACAAAAAAAGACCCCACCTTGAAGATCTTTATGTAACAGGCAATGTGGATACCCTTTTATCTGGTCTACTTAGCTATGATCTGCTTAATTTTGCACAACAGTAGTCCCACTGAAGTCAATAAAACTGTCCAGTATGTAAAGTTAAAGCATTTGCCTAACTCTTCGTAGGATCAAGACCTTAGACAGGAAAGTCTTCTCGGAAGGGATTATCTTTTGCTATGTGTAAGAACAGTAACTAACCTTGACTGAGGATTCTAAAAGCTACTGTTATAAAAATAAAATATTAATACAGTTGAAGGCATATTTTGCATACTGCCTTAGTGCAGAAGAACTGTAGTATGAAGTAAAATGGTGAGAAACAGGAAACAAGTTGCAGAGATTGTCTGTGGTTTGATTTTTTTTTTCCTGAGCACATTGCATTATTCACCCTGATATTCTTTGGATTCCTTTATGGACCAATAACTCTTTTGGGAAAAAACTCAAAACACTTTGATTTCTGAAGTTCCCTAAGCTTGGAAGTCTCCAGATGGACATCTATCAGGGATGGTCTAGACAGTGCTTGGTCCTGCCGTGAGGGTAGGGGAATGGACTCTATGATCTCTCAAGGTCCCTTCCAGTTCTAGTGTTCTATGATTCTCTCTCACTACTTAGTGTGGGAATGTTCCAGGTCTTCAAGAAGAAGAGTGTTCTGATATATCATACACATATCTATGCTTAACTAGAAACATGCCAGAAGCCCAACTGGACTGAGTGTCAGGCACTTACAGTTATGTAACACTTAAAAGACAGGATCTGCCAATTTGGATGACCATTTGGAGTCATAGGAACAAAAGCTTGACCTAGATTCCCGGTTAAAATATAACTTGTATTCCAAAGTAAAAACGTTTTCTAAATAATGTCATGTTACAAAGCTTGTTAGAAAAAAATTGTTTACACAATATTTGGACAACCATACGTGCATTTTTGCAGATTCCTAAAATTTACAGTAATTGAAATTAATATAGTAAAACATTTTTACGACTTGAGGCTGCATTCTGTTGGACTCCTTATTTCAACTCTAATCCACAGTCATAAACACTGAAACCCAACAAAAGCAGCACAACACAATTACCTTTAAACAATTACAGACCCTACCATTAACTTGCTTGGATTATATCACCCTGCGGAGTTTTATACAGGCTGTAAATTTCACAACCTTTTTTGATAGGCAGTAGTATCCCAATTACTGGGTCAAAATACTAACATCAAGATCTCTCTGAGAAACACTAAGCCTGTATATATAAGCTGGCTCCATGCATGAGACGCAAAACTCATTTTTTTTTAAGTAAACAGAAATTACATAGGTTTGTTTCCTCTTTCTCCCCCCGATCTCAAGAGCCAACATTAGTTTTAATTTACTGATCCTTAATGGATCGGTGGATTAGGATCACCAACCCTGCCAAATTAGATTAGGGAAAGCCATGTTATACTCAGGAAGTGAGACAGATATTAAGAACTGGTTTTTAATGCACTGTGTCTACAAGCAGTATTATTTTCAAGAAGTTTAAATATACCATGTACGTTAGAATTTTATCACTGTATGCCAACATTAGAAGAGGCTGCCACTGACTTAAAAAACAAAAAAGACATTCTTATAAGTGGAAAATCAATCACTAAAAATCACAGCTCACCATTCCAGGGAAGCACTGATAATTGTTAGTTATACACTGTACAAATGATATATGTTCACAGTCAAGGAAGTAGGTGCCAGTTTTTTAGGACTGTACATATATTGATTTTGCATTTATTTAATGTGGCCATTGTAAGACACTTTATTCTTCTGATAAACTATGATTGCTTATCAAAAGATTCTATAATTCAAGAGAAACATTCATAACCTGTGAAAATGAAAACTAGCAACCCACAGAAATGATTCCCACAAAATCCAATTTTGTGGATTTATAGCAGAAAGGCATTAAACTACTGTCTTGCAGGAGCAGCAGACTAGTCACTGAAGTATAACTGGCACAGCAGTAATGATTAAGGTGACATGTCCTCCTGCAACAGCTGTTAATCAGCTTAATACCAGCTACATTATTGACATTCTTGTAATTACTTTTCCTAAGGCACATTTGTGCAAAATATATTTGACTTTAATTATGAGCATTCATAGGTGAGCCCAATTCCTGAAATGGAAGATCAAATTACTTCTAGCAGGCATTTACTACAGAGAGATCATGTGGATCTAAAGTTTAGTATAAAAACTATGCTTATTGCCTCTTTAAATATGTAAGTGGTTTAGTTGTACCTTGCCATCTTCTGAGCATATGCCCATATGTTCTCCACTTTCATCCATGCTGATCTGATTTATCTTCACTGGGCTCTATAAAAAGAAAATGAAAACTTTAAGAAAAAAAAAAGTTGCATCAATGACCAAATTCCTTGCTTTTCACCTCAAGAATTTAAGCAGTAAAATCTCTCTAGTGTTTAGCTACACAAGTTCAATAAATATAAAAAAGGTCTTTCTATACCAATGCTAAAATACACCTTTGTTTCTAACCTTGTGCCTTACCCAGAAACCTGACATTTTTCCTAATTACCTACTGCAGAGACTTGAAGATATATGTAAAATGCCATACCTGTATAACTCAGTTTTGAACCTGTATAACATACTCATTATGAGTCTCCTCTTGGCATCAAGCCGATTGTAAAGAACATGTGAAGAATGCTACACTGCAAGAATTTTCAGTTGTTCCATTTTGGTCTATGGTGATAATAGCAATTATTTTCTCCCTACAAATATCTGTTCTAATTTTTTCAGTTCTACCTTTCATACTATCTTCAAAAGAATGTATTTAAGCAAAACATCACAAAACTACATAACCGAAACCTTGACATTACCAAATACTTTCAGAAGAGGCTGTCAGGTTAAATCATTTATAGTAATGTTATCCTCACTATTCATTTAAGATAGAGCAAAATGGTTATCTGCAGCCCACGAGATTACACAGCACCACTTTGTATGTAATTTAACAGAAGCATCTGCTTTTCCCTTAAATAGCAGGAGTACGTGTTACATCATTTGAGCACAAATATTTAATACCATACATATGCTCCAGAGTATTTCAATCCAACAAGCAAGAGCAGATCTGACTACACTCAAGTTTCCAAAGCTTGCTTGTGCACTATGTCAATGGCAATCCCACATACTGCCAAATAAAACAAATGTCTCATTTCTTCTCTTGTCACTCAAGGATCGTCACTCACCATTTTCAAGAAACTTACACATTTTAAAAAACTTTGCAAAATTATCATGAAAATTTAAACAACCCACATGTAACACATTCACTCGACACTTAGTATAATGCTGAACCTGATGAAAAAAGGAATTGTATATTGTACTCACTTGTGAAAAGAAAAGAAAAAATAACCTACTTCTTAGCAGTGCCTATACTAAATTAGGGAACCATCTGTAACTGAACTACCAGGACAACAGCAATATAGTGTATCTAATACCAGTTATGCTATTTCAGATACAGTGTTGTGTGTCCACACTAGCGGTTACAATTACACTGTCTTTTTATCACAGTTCCTGGCTCAGCAAACTACAAGAGATACCTTAAGGCCTTTTGGAAAGCTTAAAGGAATTGCAAGGAAAAGGAATCAAAGTCTGTAACATTCAGTTCACTACCCCATCACCAATTCTCCATCATTACTTTGAAAGTGCTTGCACTGAGTATTTCTGGTTAGAACAGCCTACAACAGGAATGCTGAACTAAGTAATCATAGCCTCAGGCTATGTCTAGATGGCAGAGTTTTTCCGGGATACCAGAGGCATCAGAAAAACTCTGCTTCGTCCAGGGAACGCGCGCCCGCTTTTTCAGAACAGTTTCCGAAAAAGCAGGCATGTTCTTTCAGCATCCCTGCATTATGAGAATAAGGGAGCTTCTGAAAGAGGAGGTTTCTCCAACATTTGGCCCTGTGTAGACAGGCCAAATGTTGGAAAAGCCCCTTAAAAAAAAAAACCCACCACCCACAAGCGGAAAAAAACAGCAGTGTAGACATAGCCTCAGATACAATAGCTTATCCGTGCAGCTACGCATAGGCTCCTGCCAGCCCCTTTGCCTCCTCACTCCTACGTGTACATGGTTTCATATGTGTTCAACAAGTAAGATAATTGCTACATTCATGACTAACATGGTCATTCAGGGGAGTGCTCTCGACTGTCAACTCAGGCAACCAGAAATTTCATCTCTACTCAGCAGTGCTCAACTGGTAAAAGTTATCCTCCGGTATCACACAGAGCTGACTGCTACAGTGGTTCTGAACATGCTGCTCTGGGACAAATTCCGTCAACTGCTGATCTTGGTACCTAGCACCTTCACAAGGGAAAAGTCTTGAGACTGCTTTTCTAAATTATTCTCTCTCCGCAACCAGCAAGAGGAGAGCAGTCATCTTCACCTCTGTTTAAAGACAAGTCCTATAAAAATAAATGCCACTTCAGACTTTGTGGCCTCCATCTTCTGTGCTACCCAGAAACATCTTGGGCTTTTTTGGACGTGTATACTGAAGGTTCAGTCTAATGGGTCATGAAAGGGAAACATTTTTTGTCCTGAACTGGACCTACTATTGTTTTTACCACAACTTCCTTACAAAGGACCCTCAATCCTTTGTCTCAGTGATGCTAGCATACCCACATTTGCCACTGTCTGGCAACTGGTCAAGATCTAAACTGTAATGAACAAATTCAGCTGTCCCAGTATCTCCTCATCTTCCTACGTTGCCAATGATGCCCACATATGAGCCTCAGGACAGCAGGTAGCACACATGGCCTTTTCTGGGACATGATACCAACAGAATCAGAGTCATCTGGCTATATGAAAACAGCACGTGACTGAGCACCAGAGTGTCTACAGTTCCATTTGTACAGGTATGTATCTTCTCTTTGCAGCACAGACAGAAGACCAAAAAAGTTAAGTAAGCAGTGGCAAGTGCATTGTTGAATAGTAAGGAAACAATTCTGTGCACAGCTATGGCATCACTAATTTCTACCCACATGAATGAAGCACTAGTGTAAAATGGTATGGCAGAGTAGCACTGAATAGTTAGCTTAGATCAAAGCAAAAAGGTAGCTAAAAACACTTGACACATTTACATGGATGCAAAGCATGCTTTCACAAGCAGGCTTAGAGGGCACCAACTAGGCAGCTAGCAAGCCAAATATCTTTAACACAGATAGGGCGCGGCGTGAGTAGAGTTTGCAAGGTTACTTTGCAGCATTTAGACTCGTCTTTAGTTAGCCACATTCTTCATATCTTCACATTTTTTACACTCTACTTTGGAGCCATTGTAGCCAGACAGGAACCCCCACATGTAACATCCATCTTGCTTGCCCCTCCCTGAGATGCCTGGAGCACAGAGGGCACACACAGAGGAGTAAAATCAGTATAGTCTTTGAAGCCTCGACAGGAGGCCCGGATATGCTAGCTCACAGTGACCCTAGATCGCTGTAAACAGAGATACGCCAATTGTTGACCTCGAGGCTGTGAGATCTGCCTTGGCTGACACCTATATTGATACGATCACACACTTGTCCAC